AATGCACTGAATCCATTGAGTGGATGAACTCTTAAAGGAATACCCAAACATGAAAATCAGTGTGCTGTGTGCTCACCCTGTGGCAATCCAAGATTAGGATGAGTTTGTTTCTTCATCAGATTTGTAAGCATTGCATTAAAAACATCACAATAATCCACAAGTAATCCACAGCACTCCAGTCCATCAGCTAACATCTGGAGAAGACAAAAGCTGAAACAAATCCATCAAGACGTTTTTAACTAAAATACGAGTCTATAATCCATAATAACGCTTCCTCCAGTGAAACAGTGGTCTGGTCTGAATCAGGAGAGAAATCTGCACAGATCAAGCAGCGTTTAAACAGCTCTAAACAAATATGTGGCTGGATTTTGATGTGAGAGACAACAGGAGATTGACAACAGACTTTTTCACTGGAGGAAGCGATATTATGGAATGTCTTTATGATTGATTTGTTTCTTTTGTCTTCTTCTCCAGATGTTAACTGATGGACTGGAGTGGTGTGGATTACTTTTGATGTTTTTATCAGCTGTTTGGACTCTCATTCTGACGGCACCCATTCACTGCAGAGGATCCATTGCTGAGACGCTGATGCAGTGCTACATTTCTACAAATCTGATGAAGAAACAAACTCGTCAACTTCTTGGATGGCCTGAGGACATTTTCATTTTTGGCTAAACTATTCCTTTAAACTCTTATTATGGTGAAAGTCAGTGATATCTCCAAGGTGGGTGGGGTTTAGTCAACATTCTCCACTACATGGGTGTAGACTGGAATGTCTTTGTGAACGCAAGATAACAGACTGCCATTCAGCTGTATGCACCCTGTACAGGAAGGCAGTGATATGGACACATTCAGGCTTTTTAAACAAAGATAATTAGATCACCGCCAAGGGCATTGAATCATTTCTATGACAGACTACAAATCAAACACACACGGACACAGTCACATAAAGTCGTCTGTGGAGTCAAATAAGATGATTGATTAGTTACTTGTACCTGTGTGATTAATTGTCTATGCAATGCATTGATTGCATTGACATGCCTGTGAAATGTTGCCTGTTTATCCAGCATGCTTGTTTGTTTACGCTTTGATGTTATTATCTCAATGTGGGTTTCTTACATTGGCAAGTTATTGAGTATGTTTTTATAATAAGCTTTTTATTGTAAACGCAATGATCCAGTGTTTGAATTCTTCTCAGACTTATGATTGCTTCTGTATCTTAGAACAACCAGAAGACCTCTGTAGGACTGAAGAAAGCTCTGGATTTGGCTCCTCTGTACATCGATAGCAATGGATGTAATAAATCTCTCAGAGAAACCATAATACAAAACGGCATCTCCGGAAAGAAGTTCTCCCCAAACGTTTGTTCTCCCACTGGATTATCCAAAGACTGCATGATTATCAGCAATATATTTATGAGTCAAGAAGATGGCTGCGTTCAACACAGTCTAAAAGAGAATGGGAACAGTGACTCCTATAGACAGATGACCAAAGCGGTCAAGAGCACTTACGCCAATGGAGATCTATGTCTTCACAACAGGACTGGAAACAGTGATGGAGTTACAAGTCCTCTAAGGGCATCCGTAGAGGAAAGGCAAGCCAGAACCGCACCAGGGAATGTGGTTAACGGATCGTCCAATGAGATGCCAGGTACTTCGTCGTCTCCGATGACTCCAGACTCCTTCCGCGAAAGCCTATCAGCCTCGTGCTCCAATCGGAGCAGCATGGATTCGTTAGTGGGACTCCGGAGTCCTCCGAAGTCTCCAAGCGTTCCACCAAACGTTCTTGAGGAAAGTGATCCGATATATGCTGAGAGCACCAAGAGGAAAAGACGACTCGATGCTCAATGCGACAGGAAGGCTCCGAAATCCTCCGAGTCTGAAACCGAAGTCAACGTAAGCGACAATCAAAGAGCGACTATTACTGTCGTCGCCGCCCATACTGAGAAAAACAACCGGACGTTTTACCTGAGCAGCCCGGATTCGGCCGTAAGCACTCAATGGACCCACTTCAGCCCAACCGCGCCCAAAGACCCATCAAGCCCGGCGTTCACTTGGCCAAATGCTCCTGATGCCACTGAAACAACCCAACCCAAGCCTCGATCCAGTCCCCCAGTTCCTCCTAAGATCAGCACCCGTCCACCAAGACTTGGTACCTCCAGTCTCTCCTTACCGTTACCCGAGCTCAGCTTTCACGTGGGTCTTCCTCCAAATCAGATGACCTTGCAAGTGGACACCAATGCTCATGCCGTCCGAAACAAGTCCAACAGCGCCACGAGTCTGGAGGGATGTATTGACGAGGTAGAAGAGGAGGTTGAGTCCAAGAGATTGGGCTCTTATGGTGGGCTAGGCGACTCCATCAATGCTCCTGCTGTTCCGTCCAGAGAATGGACGAGTGAGAGCAGTGCAGTGCCAGGCACCGCCAACAAAAGCACCAGTCAAATGCCGGCAGAGGATGGTAGAGCCAAAGAGAGCTTGCTCTTGAGTCCGTCTCCTCTCATCCACTCCAGTGAACCCAACACCAGCCGGGATCCCACGCCGCCTCCGCCGCCTCCCAAAAAACACCACCGGTGAGAGCTGCATCCTTATTTTATGCTGTTTGCCAGGATATTAATCAGTTGATCATTTCGATACTTATCCTTTGATGGAGCCAGATTAGTCTTAGTATTTATGGTGCCCTCACGTGCTATGGTAAATATGAGTTTCCTAGCCATTTTTGGACATGGGTTAAGGTTAGGGCTTGGGAATTCGGACACGGATAGGCTCTCAAGTTGGATTTATGACTTGGAAACCTGGAGATAATTATGATACCCCAGACTAAACTTTAAACGTAATTGCAGGTTGAACATCTAGTTGGTTGTCAATGAATGGGACGCTACATTTTATTCAAAGTCTGTTGGATTTTTACTAAATATCTTCAATGCGTTTTTTCTTTAATGCAGTTTCCCCAAGAAATTGGCAAGAATTAATCTGGTGTCCTCCATTATTTTTGTTGTTCCCAACGACAAAGCACTTGAATGCAGTAAATAAGACTTCAGAAGTGGGAATTTCCAATAGCGCATGAAGGCAGCGTAAATGCAAAGACCCAGTTATGTTGTTTTTTTCTGGTTTGCCTGACCAGGTCATTTCAATGAATTTAAAAGCTCTTGGTATTGCTAGTTAGTCATCTGGTATAGAAAAACACTCTCAAGTTGTATTTATGTCTGGGAAACTTACTGACTGGGAAATACCACAGTTTTTGTGTTGGAAGGATGAAACTTTAAACTACGAAATGCTTTCTCTTGCATTACAGTCATTTATTTATGTGTATAAATAACCATTTGATGCATGTTGTGTGTATTTTACACTGCATTTATTTGATTGAAACTTCAGAATCGCTGGCTGACAATCTAGTTGGTTGTAAATGAATGGGACGCTACATCTGTTGGATTCTGACTAAATATCTTCAATGCATTTTGGCTTTAATAAGGTTTCCCCAAGAAACAGGCTAGAATAAACCTGATGTACTCCATTATTCCTGTTTTTTCTAACAACAAAGCACTTGAATGTGATAAACAAGTAACTACGACTTCCGAAGTGGGAATTTGGAAATTTCCAATAGCACATGAAGGCACTAAAGTACAGAGAACCAATTATGTTTGTTGTCTGGTGTTCCTGACCAGGTTTCAATGAATTTAAAAACTCTTAGTATTGCTAATCAGTGCATTACTGGTCATGAGTTCTATTGTTAGTTTGTCACCGTTCAGTCTGATCTCTGGTTTCATATTGAGATGGATTCATTGTGAGATATTCAGTTTCTTTGGTTTTGTTTTCTTGTATTGGTTCGTTATCGACCCTCTTAAGGTGATGTGATTCATTGAGCTCAGTAGTTTAATGAGATGAAGTGTTCATTTTGGTGTATTTGTTTCACTCTCGTTCTCTCTGAATGAAGTTGATTGTCGTTTGTGTCTGGACTCGTGACTTTTAGGCCGGTCTCTCTGTTGTTTGTTTGCAGTTTTATCAGTCCTTCATTCAGCCATTATGGAGACGATATCAAGCGCAGATATGTTCACGCCGTTCTGAATGTGACGCCTGTTCATCTGCGCCATTCGATTCATTTATTCTGCTGTAACCACGTTTAACATGTGAGTGTTAATGTAACGTAATGACGTGAAATAAAACATCATCATGTTTTAAAGAAGTGTGGCTTGATTATATGGTGGAAATAGCGGATGATGGGCACAGAACGGTAACAAAACGCTGATTTACAGTCACACACAGGTGTAGTAGTGTGTAAACTCTATAACATGGGTATGTTTTAGATAGCTGTAAAAGGATTCACATGTTTGTTTTTTGAAAATATCGTTTTTTTTATGTAATATTATATTGTAAGTCTAATAAATAATTGACCTCAAAAAGGGAATTCATAGCAATAACTGCTTAATTTTTTGCATATTAGCTATATTATATTATATTATAAAGAATTGAACTGTTCTGCATGAGATTTTTTTAAATGATTTTTTTATAGAATTTCTTGGTAAGTAGCACAACACTGTAAAAAATATTTTCTCAGGTAACCTAAAATGTGCAATCATTTAGTTACATCAAGGGTCAAATCAAATATAAATAACACATTAAAGTTAAGAGTTGCACACTTTTTTTGTGTGCGCGCTGTATAAAGGTTTGGTATAAAGAATGTTTTTGCTCAAGTGGCCGAAATGTCCGCCCAACAGAGAAAAGTTTTGCTCAGTAGGAAAAAAAAACATTGGTCATAACCCAATATTTTTCAACTAAAACCATATTGTATCTGATCAGCAACTTCTTGTTAATGAGTGAATGTGAATTTTTTTTTAAGTTTTGCATGTTATTATTGCATGTACCCCTTTTTATTAATTAAAAAAATTAAAATTCTTTGAAACTTCACACATGAACCACACCAAAAAAACAAAAAAAGGATATATTTATATTTTTTTCAACATTGATGAGACATTTTATTTGAATATATTGTATGTAATTTGTAAGAACATATAATCTGAGAATTTCCCGTATTAACCCCTTGGAATTAATAGAATTTAATTAAATTCCTTAAAATGTATAACTCATTGTCAATCAAAAAGTGTACAAGTTTATGAAACCTACATATATATTTCTAACAGAACAACATACATATTACTTCGAAAAGTTTTCAAACAAAATAAATGCATTTTACTTGCATAAACGTTCATTTTCAGATGAAAAAGTGGTAAATATTTATGCTGCAATGGTTCGTCAACAGACTTCAGTCCAAAAGTGTGCGGGGTGTGGGGAATAGGAGAAATATATTTTACAAAATTTTTTGACACTAATATAACTTCATAGAAAATTTTACGAAAAGTATTTTTGGCACTTATGGTGTTCCATACTACGGCTGGGCAAAAAAAAAATTGATTGTTAACCGCTTCATCTTTGTATGCTGGATCAGCTCTCTGCCCTTCAGAGCTGTTTCTGTTTTATTTGTTCTCATGTTTGACTGACTCACAGGAACATTTCAGGCCCAGAGTCACGTCACCAAAGTAAAGCGCGCTGAGATCGTCTGCGCTTCCCGTCTGTTGCTGAGCTCCGGATGAGGAGCTGGAGACACGAGTCAACAAACACTGAGCATATCTGAGCATCGATCTGCTGTTTATACCTTCATCAGGTGCTGTGTCTCCAAACAAGAGCTTTTTTTAGCAGATCGCAGTGGTTTGTGGTTATTGAGATATGCTGCTCCTATCAGAACCAAACCAAGAACCATCATCAGATACAGGAGACTGCACTGAAAAAAACCAAAACTAGTAGAAACTATTTGTACTCACGTGCACACACGCGCACACACACACACACTCACACTCACACTCACACACACTCACACTCACACTCACACGCACACACACACACACACACACTCTCACTCACACTCGCACACACACTTGCACACACACACACACACTCACACGCGCACTCACACACAGTCACTCACACACGCACGCATGCTCACACACACACACTCACACTTGCACACTCGCACACACACTCGCACACTCACTCACAGTCACTCACACACGCACGCATACTCACACACTCACACGTGCACACACGCACACACTCACACGCGCACACACTCACACACACACGCGCACTCACACAGTCACTCACACACGCACGCATACTCACACACTCACACGTGCACACACGCACACACTCACACGCACTCACACACACACGCGCACTCACACAGTCACTCACACACGCACGCATACTCACACACTCACACGTGCACACACGCACACACTCACACGCACTCACACACACACGCGCACTCACACAGTCACTCACACACGCACGCATACTCACACACTCACACGTGCACACACACGCACACACACACACACACTCACACTTGCACACACACTTGCACACTCACACACACACTCACACACGCACACTCGCACAGTCACACACACGCACGCATGCTCACACACTCGCACGTGCACACACACACACGCGCACTCACACACAGTCACTCACACACGCACGCATACTCACACACTCACACGTGCACACACACGCACACACACACTCACACACACACGCGCACTCACACACAGTCACTCACACACGCATGCATACTCACACACTCACACGTGCACACACACACGCACACACCCACACACACACTCACACTTGCACACTCGCACACACACTTGCACACTCACTCACACGCGCACAGTCACTCACACACGCACGCATGCTCACACACTCGCACGTGCACACACACGCGCACTCACACACGCACGCATACTCAAACACTCACACGTGCACACACGCACACACACACACTTGCACACTCGCACACACTTGCACACTCACACACACACTCACACGCGCACACTCGCACAGTCACTCACACACGCACGCATGCTCACACACTCACACGTGCACACACACTCACACGCGCACTCACGCACACACGCACACTCACACACGCACATGCACAAACGCGCACACTCACTCACACACACACACACACACACACACACAATCTCACTCACACACAGACGCTGATGATCCTCCAGTCTGGTGGATTCTGAGGTGAGTGACGGACGGCTGCTTTCAGCTCTGTGTGTTTCACTCAGGTCCTGTAGTGTGTGTGGTAAACATGCGGATTAGCAGGACCTTTGGAAAGGTCACAACGTGCGGCCTGCTGCTGTGTTTGTGATTGTGTAAATGTCTGTATTTGAGCGTGTGTCTGTATGATACTTAGAAAATCAGGTGATTGTGGGAAACTGAGGCTCCAGATCGTATTTAGTATAACAGTAAATATTATTACGGAGTGTCTATTTACACTAAGTGCAACTAAGTTGGCAGATGCTATTTACATTAACTCCGCCCACCAACGTGTGATTGGGCTAAACAACACTACAAAAGACGATAGTTCAACAACAGCTCCAGTGGTTATACATAGCAGAAAATCCTGCTATTTTAACATATCGCTAAAAAATACTGCTATTTGCACTTATTGTAAATAGCCTCTATCGCTATTACTCTTAGTGCAAATAGCCACTGGCATATTATTAATGTAATACTAAAATATATAAAAGAGTTTCAGACCAGGGTTATTATTGTTAACTAAAAATAAAACCATAAAAAACATTTTCATTACTTGAAATAAAATAAACAGAAATAAAATGATATACATTAAAAAAAACCTAAACTTATTTTATTTTAGCTGGCAACATTTCTCATTTGTGTTTAGTTTAAGTAGACTAAATAAAATAAAACAAAAAATTAAAACTATATTTAAAAACAACAAAAACTAATAAAAATGATGAAAATGCACAGCAAAATAACTAAAACTTTAAAATTAGATTGAAAACAAAATATAAAATGCAAACTAATTAAAAAGATAAATGAACCTATAATAGCATATCAGTGATATTGAAATAACTGGAGGAGAATTGTTAACTGTAGTTTGCTGCTCCGGTGTTTTGATTGATTGCTGTGACGTTGCTATGCGGTTGCTAGGGTGTTCTGCTGGTGGATTAATGTCTTAGATGTACGTGTGGTACTGGTGTTTAACACACACACACACACACACACACACACACACACACATGTATTTGTGGTTTACGGGGACTCTCCATAGGCGTAATGGTTTTTATACTGTATAAACTGTATTTTCTATCGCCCTACACCAACCCTACACCTAGACCTACCCCTCACAGAAAAGTACGGGCAATTTTTGAGTTTCATAAAACACCGTTTTGTATGTTTTTTTTAAGCCTTTTGTTTTACGGGGACACAGGAAGTGTCTTCATAAACCATGTTTACGTTGCAATACCCATGTCATTATACACATTTGTGTCCTCATAAACCATACCAGAACACACACACACACACACACTCACACACATGCACTCACACACACACACACACACACACACACACACACACACACATTTATTTATACACACACACACAGGAAGTGCTGCTGTTCTATTTATAGAGCGACTCACCACACAGAATCATGAGTGTGTTTGTTGATCTTGTTACTTTGTATCGCAGCGCTCCTGAATGGTGCATTCTAATTGGCTGACAGGTGTTACTTTCAAGCTATAGATGTTCTATAGTTGCTATGAAGTTGTGTATTTCTAAACATGCTATATATATATAATTTAGTATTAGTGTTTGTGTTAGTCTTTAGTTAGTCATTATTATTGGCTTTATGTAAGCAGCACACCTTTATGGTATGTTCTTGTTTAAATAAACCCGTT